GGTCACGAATTGGCGTGGGGTCCAGGGGGCAGAGCCCCCGGAAGCTCAGGATTTTTGGGCAATAAAATACGGTCAGATGAGCATATTTTGATACCTTATTTGTGACACTGGCAGGTCACGAATTGACGTGGAGTCCAGGGGGAAGCTCCCGGAAGCTCAGGGGTTTTTGGTAATACATTAACCCTAAAAAGGCCGGGCTATTTGAGGTCTTAGTACGACGGGGGGGGGGGGGGGGCATTATGGCCCCCCTTAAGATCTCGGCCGCAAAGCTGCCGATCGCCGCGAAAATTTGCACGTATGTCAAGTGAAGTGTATAGAATAATATGAACATTTCAATTTTTTGAAAAATTCACTCATTTGCATATTTATGGTAATTTATGCAAATAAAGTCATAAAAATCACATTTTTACCCATAAATCATATATTATTCATATTTAAGCATTCTTTTTCACTACATATATTCATTAGACCATTTTGAATAATAATACGACAAAAAAAAATTGGAAGACCCAGCTTATTCCTTATGTTATCCCTTGTTTTGATAATTTCTTATGTATTTCATTGTTTTTTAACTTATGTATTTCATTGTTTTTGTTGTTTTATTTCATTTCTTACTACAATTCAACTATTGTGACTCCCAAAATAACCACCTAAACCCTAAACAAGACCCAATAACCCATGTTTGATCTGTTTTTAGGAATAATGACTTTTCCATATGTTTTGTACACAAATCACGAAAATGAGCGATTTTCGGGCTGATATATGCAAAGACAAAAGGTCACGTGACCTTGTAACCGTAGATCCAATTTTCAAAAAAATTCTTTTAAAAGTTGCGCAAGACTCGAAAGAAAAAAGTCAGCGAGCGGCGGGGCGCCATCCATTTGCGTTCTCGAGCAATCGAGGGTTAAGGTCAGATGAGCATATTATGATACCCTATTTGTGACAATGTGACAATGGCAGGACACAAATTGGCGTTGGGTCTAGGGGGCGGAGCCCCCAGAAGCTCAGAGGTCAGTTTTACATTAAATTATCGTCAGGTGAGCATATTTTATACCTTATTTGTGACACTGGCAGGTCACGAATTGGCGTGGGGTCCAGGGGGCGGAGCCCCAGAAGCTCATGGGTTTTAGACATATACATAAAATTATCGTCAGATGAGCATATTTTTATACCTTATTTGTGACACTGGTAGGTCACGAATTGGCGTGGGGTACAGGGGGCGGAGCCCCCAGAAACTCAGGGATTTTTATAACGATCAGACAAGCCTTAGGGCCCCTGTTGGGCTCAAGCGGAGCCCCGGAAACTTATGGGTTTTAGGCATATAATTACGGTCAGATGAACATATTTTGATACCTTATTTATGACACTGGCAGGACACTAATTGGCGTGAGGTCCTGGGGGCCGAGACCCGGTTTTAAGCTTTAAATTACCGTCATATTAGCATCCAGCCGTCCGCCTTAGGACCCTAGGTGGGGTCCAGAGGGCAGAGCCTCCGGAAGCTCAGGGGTTTTAAGGCATTTAAACAAGGTCAGATAAGCACAAAAAACTCTTCTTTTTTTTTGGCTCCGGAAATTGAAAAATTACGTCGTCAGATATTTCGTTCACTGCCTGGGGGGGGGGGGGGGAGGGGGTGAGGGAGGAACACTTTTTTTGTGCTTTTTTTAGCAAAAACATACACACAACAACAAAAATAATTCTTTCCCCTTTTTTTCTTCTTTTTTGTTGTTGCCAGGGGGCCCGGGACTCCCCACCTCCCCCCCCCCCCCCCCCCCCTGGATCCGCCACTGCGAAAATAGAAGAAAATGTATATCATTATCTCCATTTGCTTCTTGGGTGCACTATGCACCCAATGACGCCTGGCTGGAATGCTCCCCAGTGAGTGGAGAATGTGCATACATTGTGTGCGGGTAAGCCTTGAATCCGATGACCGGGGTAATAGTATATAATTCTGTAAGGCGCTTTGATAGGACCCTCCTGAAAAAGCGCCATATAAGAAATAGTTATTATTATTATTATTATTATGCCTTAGGGCCCGAGGTGGTTTTCCATAATTATGAGGCCCATGTTTCAAAGAATATGGGACCCATGTGGGCTTGCTACGTGGGTTATTATTCTCTCTGTCTCTCATTATCTCTCTCTCTCTCTCCCACTCTCTACTTCTTTTTGCACTTTTCGCGCTTAACATTTAGCTCGTTGCTTTTTAACGCTGCGGCTTTGCATTAGCCGCACTGCATTTTTATGATGCTTTTGATTGAATAAATTGAATAAATTCATCAATTCCTGATGAAGGCGTATGAGCGAGAATTCAATTTATTCTTGTCTCATATACGGTTGTCTCATTTACTTCGTTTTCTATTTATATATGTATGTATTATGAAAATGAGATAGCAAAATGTGTATATTGATGGTCATCTTGCGAGTAATAACCATGCATTAACTACTCTCATCGGGCTTTCATCATTAATTTTTCTCTTCATTTTTTGATGGTGAAATTATTGGGCCACAGGCCACCCCCCCCCTCCTGAAATATTTTTTGGGGATATATCCCCTCCCCCCCCCCCCCCCCCCCCCCCCCCTGGATCGACACCCATGGCTATAAATATGCATGGCCATCCCTCTTCCTATTTCTATGATCGGCAAACGGTGATCAGACAAAATTAGTGTTCCATCAACATTCGCAGCCGGGTATATTTCGACAAAAATGTAGGATTTCGGTTAATGATGTGATTTACATGGGTTTTAATTTATAAGTTGGGGTAAGGTATGGTGGTGGTTCCAAGGCTGAAGTTAGACATGCGTGTAGCCGGAGCACGTCAAACACATATAACGAGGCTAACTTTGATTTTTTATTTCATCAAGGTTTTTGGTCGGCAAATGAAAATAATTATCCCCTTCCTTCTTTTCGCAAACTCCATCCCCTCACAGAGTTGAACCATTCAACAGTTTTAACGCTGTTCCTGGTGGAACCGAATGGACTACTCCATGGGGTGCTATATGTTATAATTATTGACATACCCTTTTCTTTAACTTTAAAAACGAGATGTAATGAATTTCGTTCAATATTGTTACCAAAATATAGGTTCCTTTATAGCCCAAACTAGCTTCAGTCTATTTATTACGGTCAGTGTTATATGCCCCATACAATGCACTGTTAGAAATCATGTTTTATAATAAATCGTTTTTTATTTGGGTTTTATTGGTATATTATGTAGTTGTGTAACTTAGTTATAAATAACTTCCGACAAAAAGTTAAGACAAGATTAGATATAAACGATGGTATTGCTAATCTTCGTCAACGGTCATCGTCCTTGAACCTAGTTGAATAAATTATACACAAACTTGGTGCATCACAACAACAAAATCCAAATCTGCATGTGATATTCTTTACCCTACTATTTTTTCTGACATGATTAAAGGTCGAAGGTTGGTACACAGCTACCCCGTGGTCCACCACAGACACTGACCATGAATCACCACCACCACCATCTACCCCACCACCACCACCACCACACCACCACCACCCAGAGGCGACCCTTTTCCTTTCTAATATATGCTTTTTTACCCTTCTTATAAGCGCCCATTCCCCTTTTTCATAAATGCCCCCTTTCACCTCTTATAAATACCCCTATCAAAATATGATGGTTGCCCCTTTTCCGTCGACAAATGCCCATTTTCCATTTTCATAAGTGCGTTTTTTTCATCCCTGATGAGTGCCTCTTTTTTTAGGTGTGAGAAGTGCCCCAAGTTCACCTCTGATAGTTACCCTTTGTACTTTGACACGTACGTGCTCCTTTTCTTTCCTTATCCTTTCGATAATCCCCTTTTCCTCTCATCATTGAACATGCCCCTAATTTCAAGTGACAAAAAGCAATTTACCCCAAAGTTTGCATGCTACGCTCGCTCGTATTTATGGATGATATAATTATGTTACTTATCAAAGTTCTTTTCAGTCTTCCGTTATGAAAATGTGCTTATAACCCGACCAGGATCGGGCTTTTCCCTCTTTATAAGATGTAAATTTTCGCACTACGACCTCAAAAAACATAACAAATATTCAGACCATAACACTGGACATATCTTGTGTGATGTATAAAGAAAAACTAATATTGAAATCATCTTTGATAATCAAAAATATAGGGGTATAAGGGTATATACCCATATCTAAGAAAATTGTATATTTTCGTTCTGAGACTTTCCTTGCAGGCAGGAAACAGGTGCCCTTTTTTCTTCCAGAAAGTGTCCCTTTTTATTGTTACCCCCACTTTGGAAATCGCTTGGCCGCCCCTGCCACCACTAACACCATCGCCCCCTCCCAAGGTAGGGAACATTTTGGCCGGCATTTTGGTATTCTTATGTCTGACAAACAAGTTTTTATTATATTTTATAGCTGACCTCTTGTCTGCATACGCACCCCCCCCCCCCCCACATTACTAGTAATTGACGCAAGCGAGTTTTGGACATGGAACCTAAAGTGATGTCTGTGCAGCCAACTATATATGGAATATCATCCCATGAATATGGTTTCAAAAGAAGGGAGGCACATCACTTTATAAATACATATCACTTACGTCCATATATAATCTGGAAAACAATTAGGTAATTATTTAAGAGTCAAGTCTTTCTCACTGACACGTTAACAAACGTTAACAAGTAAGTAATACACAATATGTCTAGCTATTGAATAATCTCAAAAATAAATTGTAAGAAGTAGTTTAAAGTGCATCGATAGCCCTTGAAAAGAAGTATTATTAGGTATTTGCAAACGCTGCACAATAAAAGCCAGTTCATGGTTGCAGTCTGAGCATGAGCAGATAAAGGTCATTGCAGAACAAAATTTTGAAATACACGGATACGAAATACTGGATACGTGCTCATGAAAGTTATGTAATCATTATTCATTCATGCACAAACAACTGCACTCCATGATCCACAGGTGGAAGTATTCTTTGAAAAGGGGAAACAAAGACTATTTATATAGCACCGCCTTCGCTGTAGGAGTGGTTATTTCAAAATGTACAAAGTGGGACCTCTTCATGAAGATCTGTGGATATTCGGGGTCATTGCAGTAATGTGCTAACCGTGAACTGGTTCTCGGTCGTTATTTTCCTTTATGATTTGTCTCTGTTGCCGTACCTGAAGTCAAACATTTCACGAAAGCCGTCGGAATTTATTTACAGCTTTGATTGAACGAGAGAAGAATTTCACACAAAAATGAATCTCGATCCTGCGACAGGAGTTCCATTTGTAAGATATAGACCCTATATGCATATTTATGTTTCAATCTCATTTTGTTGGACCAAATATTTGTTTTAATACTTTGAATTGAGTGGAATGTTGTAGACACACCCATTTTTCTTTGGTCCCATTAATCGAAATTGATGTACGGTAATCTATTCATGGACGTGACTTGCGCTCATCGATGCAGCCTTGGCCTTGCCCCCGACGGGGCGGCCGCCGCGCTCTGCGGCCTGCGTTTGCAGCATGCAGCTCCATCAAATCATAGGCATGGGACAATCAGCATAATTTCACAATTAATTGGGTGCTAGTGTACTGTCACACCACCGGGCGTGTTTAGTCTTATTGAGTAGCCCACGCCATCCATTGCCTGAGACAAAATTGAAGAACATGATTCGGTGTGAAAGCGAAAGTGCCCATGATTTAATGACTCACAATTAGTCATTTGATTTAGCTAGCCTAGTAGTCTATTGTCCATAAATCATTCTTAACTACTGTGTTGGAGAATGCATTTGAGAGATTACTGCACTGAGTAGAGGCTACAGTTGAAAACAAAACAAGGTGGCCTGTACCAAAAGAAGAAGAAGACGAAAAGATTAGAAACAGGAAGAAGAAGGAAACAGGAAGAGGAAGAAAAAGGCATCAATTCTAAATGAAACAAATCCTGTGGAAAATGATCTGGGCATTATTGACAATAAATATTTTACAGATATTGACCGGTAGGGTGGGTAATTTAACCCTTTTTTTTTTACCACAAAGCGTTCCAGCGCTGAGGGACTATATATCACTGAGTCCTGTGGTGCGGTTTTAAAATGTAATATTACATAGGTCTATCCTACCAGTAGATATCTTTTATATTACTTTACTTACTTTACTTTAAAACACGATGTTGTAGGTCTAAGCCTGTTCATCGATCCAGGATTCTTCCGTGATTACTGCTATTTTGTGGAGGGAGGAGGTTGTGTAATAACATGAGACAATAGACAACACCTAGACCGGCTCATACAGAAGGCTTACTGGTACACTCTTTGACCAGTGACTATCAAGTCTATTCTTAAAAGAGTTTACCGACCCAGCTGCCACAACGTTTTCTGGGAGACCGTTCCACAGTTCCACGACTCTATTGCTAAAAAAGTATTTTCTTATATCTAGCCTTGAATATTTCTTTTCAAGTTTTCTAGAGTGACCTCGAGTTCGATCTTCTGTACTCATCTTAAAGGGCATCTCTTGCACAGTGTACAAGCCATTCACGTACTTATACACATCGATCATGTCCCCCCTTTTACGCCTGTGAACAAGAGTTGGTAGTTTGAGTTTGGTCAAGCGCTCCTGGTATGTTAAATTTCTAAGGCCAGGAATAATCTTTGTTGCACGTCTTTGTACGCTCTCCAACATTCTCTGTTCTCCTAATCTGTATGGGGACCATGCGGCTTGTCCATATTCTAAAATGGGCCTAACGAGGCCTTTAAACAAAAACGGCATAGTATCAGTATTGAGGTACATAAATGTCCTACGGATAACTCCAAGTACTCGATTCGCTTTGAGAACTGTTTGGGAAATGTGATCTTTAAATGATAGTTGTGAATCTACTAGGACACCTAGGTCCTTTTCTACTTTTGTAACAGATAGTGTTACAGAGTCTGTCCCCTTTTTCATACAATAGTCTGTAGAGGCTTCTGCCGGTAACTTCCCAAGCCTTAAAACAGTACACTTATCAGGATGAAAGCAAAGCTGCCATTTCTCAGCCCATTCTTCCATACGTGACAGATCCTCTTGAAGTTGCTTTCTTAAATCTGCAGTATCAGCACGGACATACAACTTTGTGTCGTCTGCAAACATCGAAATATTTGAGTTGACAACTTTTGGAAGGTCATTGACAAATAGCAAAAATAAACATGGACCCAACACACTGCCCTGCGGCACTCCACTCAGGACTTTGCCCCACTTAGACTGCTTGCCTCTGACCACTACTCTTTGCTGCCGTCCACTCAGAAAAGACTCTAACCATGCAAGTACATTCCCACGAACTCCATACGATTCTAATTTGAGAAGCAGTCGGTGGTGAGGCACCGTATCGAACGCCTTAATAACACGTTGTTGAAATAAAAAATAATTCTGATGTCATGCCTTGTTTGTTTTTCCAGCCTTTCGCGTCAAATGCGCATGACTATGAAAACATTTGCATTTGCAACAAAGTTGTTTAAAGCATGATTTTTTTGGTTTTGCTCTTCAGATTGAACTAGAACTACACAAGGATGGCACTAAGCTAGGTTTCAGTGTTGTTGGAGGTATCGACCAGGATAGCTCCAAGAATCCATTCATTAAAAATGACCAGGTAATATTATCTTCTTTAAGGTAGTTCATAATAATTCTTCACACTGATATTGGACTTATGAAATGAAAATCAATAAGGAGCAAAATAACAATAATATGTAATCCAAACAAAACTTGTATGTACTGTACCGGCCGTCGCCCTCGTTGAGGGCGTCGACCGCATCGCCCCTACCTTCCCTCACGGCGAGCCTGGTATTTGTGGCCATATCTCGTGAAAGAGAGATAGGAAGCGATGTATCTTATAAAATCCTAATTCGTTTCAGTCAAAATATATGACTTATAGAAATACAGGTAAATGGAATACTAAATTGACACTCAAAAAGAAGAACACATTTGTTTGAGACAAGATTTTAGTTTGAACACAAAAACAAAAACTTCATTTAATTATTTCTTTCTTTACATCAATAATATTATCGCCACTGTTACAAATTTAATAAGTCTTTATATAATATATACATATACACACAAGTTAATACTCATGTTTATAAAATCTGTCTGTTATAACACTGTAAATTGGTAATGGACTTTATATTAACTTTAAGAAACTATACCTGTTTGTTTATGAAGGAGAGTTTAAAAATTAGCCAATGTTATTTAAAATTTAGTGTTAAGTTTGGACCAATTTGTTTGGGCGGCTCTTGCGAGACGACGTTTGGACAAGTTTGTTGCGCGATTCTGCCGAATCGCCCCGAATCCGAAAAATCTATTTTATATATGCACTATATGCGTACGTGGGGGAAATCATGCGTACGTGGGGGAAATCTATGCGCGTGCTGTAAGCAACGCCGCGATCATGCACAGAGCTAGCTAGATAACTAGATGCGCTCGTACACATTGCAACCGGTCCTTATAAAGTTCCAAATCTTTATTAATTCAATATTAAATGCTTATTTATTCCAAAAGTTACACTGCTATAGTAATGGAAACATTACAATGCGTTTATTTGAAACTTTATACAAGGCATAAGATACATTTTTCAAGCTCTCCTTTGTAATAAGAGCAGAAATTTAACAAACAAATATTTCATAGCATGAATTTGGGATTCACTTTTTGTTTACATAATGCGCGTCAACCGCACAACCTGAATTCCGATCCTGGTTAATAAACTTAAAGAAGTACAAAATTCGAATTTTCTTACGTTTTTGACAAGAGATTGTTAAGACAATAATATGATATTAGGGATAATTTGTTTGTCTATCTGAATAAATATACAACTTTATCACATATTTCATACATAATGAATTCTTAGGCATATTACTACGATTTATAGATTAGATCTAGTGTGTCGGAAGCAACGTACGCGTATGCTTCCGGTTGTGTTTATACGTGAAGCCGTTCATACTAGACTTCTTCAAACTAGAAACTTTTGCTTGTAAGCAGGTATTTATACACAAAACGCACACAATCCAGACTATAACTCGCAGCGGTACTTCTAGAATAAAGTTAATCGAGATAATGTTTACCTATAAATGAAGAATGTGAAGGAAGTGATGAGAAATATGCTGGTTGAATGCAAGATCTCGGAGTGAGCGAGAGAGAGAGAGAGAGAGAGCAAAGAGAGAGAGAGAGGGAGACAGAGGAGAAAAGACAGAAATAAGACAAGATTGAGAAAAGAAAGGATGGGATGATTCAAGCTGCATGTTTTCAGAAGTTTCAGATAAAAGATATGACAGGTAGCATGGAAGTCATTTTACAAGTATAATATTGTGAGGTTGGATCGTTACAGTACTTATTCTGAGAAGAAGAATTAGAATGTAGGAGAATAGTAACTAAAGTTATTAAACTCCTCAAAAAAAAATCTGCAATTCAAGTTTGAGCATTGATATTTCTCTTGTTACTTTGTTATCATATTTGATGTTGGTATCATTGAAAAGCCTATTTATTCCCCTTTACAATGATGCCCCATTCGTAATGATTCGTTATGTAATCATGTAATGTGCAGTACACCTGAATATGCGGCCAAGTCAAAAGTGAAATGTTGCTATAATCATATATGATTATACAGTACAGAGAGTCTAGGCAAAAGAGATATCAATGCTCAATCGTGAATTTCAGACCTTTTTTGAGGAGTTTATGAATAAGTTAAAAATATAATTCACACTTTGCTTTTTGTACTTATTATGAAGATGAAATAAAAATCAGAAAGATGCAGAATAGATAGCAACTCTTAGTTATAATGTAATTCATGCTGACTGCTTTGTTATGTTTTTCAGCTATCACCTTTGTATTTCTCTTTTATAAAAATATTACTATGACAATGTGATCAATGCGGTGAATAGGGTAAAATATGAATCAATACCCCAAAAGTTATTGTTTTTCGGTAGTCATTTAGAGTTTCCAACCATACATTATATGATGAATATATGATCACTGGTAATATTAAAAACATTAAATTACATTTAATACATACATGTATGTCTATGTATGTCGTTCTGTTCCTAGTTTAATGTAATAACATACTTCTTTCCATCAGGGCATCTTCGTGTCGAGAGTTGCTGCAGGAGAGCCAGCTGAGAAAGCAGGGTTGCAAGTAGGCGATAAACTATTAGAGGTATGACATTGATTTGAGATACCCTAGTGACATACAGTATATCTTTTCAAAATGAACACATCTTTGGTTATTTTTTTGGTTAAAAAAGTGTAGAAGAAAATATCATGTATGTTCGGCATTATTTTCATTTGCAACAGTCGAGATGAAATTCACTACCCTTTTTTCATGTTATCAAGCTCACCTTTACGTTTAATTTCAGTTAAATAATATTAAAAAACCTGTCTCATTCAGAGCAAATAATGAACAAATATTTGTTCATTTTGAAAAGATGTACTGTTTATGTATGGGGGTTGTGGCAATTTTTGTGACATACCAGAAGTAGGAAACTACATGTATGTCTCGATCCTATCAACCATAAGAATGTTTGTTTACTCAAATTGAGTTTAGCACAAGGGAGTAGCCAACTATGTTTAGAATGACTCTAGCTTCATGGTGAGTCAATATTATTGACCCATTATTAAACCATTATTAATGCAACCCAATTATGTTATATAAATGTGATGGCCATGTAACGCTGGTAAAAAAAAAAGTATATTAAAAAATTATTTTGAAAAGAAGCAACTGAAACAAGAATGATTCTGGCCGTGCACTACTATATATACAGTATATATTTATTGCATAGAAATCATCAATAGATGATTTGATCTTACATGTGTAGTAATATCTCATACCAACGTTACATGGACATCATCATATTTTGTCCCAGGAAAGAAAGAAAACAAGTACCTGTAGCTAAACAGGGAAAACAGCACCCTTTATCTGTTTCCAAACCTTAAAACAGCTTCAGAAGAAACATTTAGAATTGCAGTCTACCAAAAAGTATTGTTTCATTGTTTGAATTAAAACAAATTATTGTTATTATTTATTCAGCAAAGACAAAATCAAAACAAATTAATACAACACAACAGTAAGTAAGGTTTGAAGTGAATCACCAGGAAAAGGAAATAATTAAATGTTTCAGAAGAATGTGGCTCTGTCCTTTTACTTGGTATGGATTCAGTGACATTTCACATGGCCACACCCTTCCAACTGTTTGAAAAGATTAACCTCGTTTATTCATTCAGGAATGTAAACATAATATAATGAAGGCGAATGTGGTTATCAAGAGAAGGATATGCCTAACAATGGATTCTGACGTTGAAAAGGACATGTTTTTAGGAACAGGATACTCGATTGTTCATTCAGTTCCCTCAAGTTTCATTCAATGTGATTATGATGGAACTAAATTTAGCCTTTGATTAGAGGGTATTGTTTGTGCAGGATAGATGAATGGATTAAACAGATTAACAAAACTTCAAAGCTGATCTCATACAAGGAAGGTACATTGTACAAATCTTCTAAAATGTGACATACCCAGTGACAACAACTGTAAACGTATGTAGTTTCTAGAAACTTCTAGCTCCCTTTTGGAATACAAATGATATATATTGCAGATAGAAAATGGATACTGGTCATAGTGAACTCTCAGTCTCTCAAGGATTAGTTATTTCAATTGTTTTAATCATTATTTGTATATTAATGTGATGGAGGATTATCCAAATTGAATCAAATTGAACAATTTTTCTATTCAAGACTCTTAATTTTAATATATTTTTAATGTAATCTCAAGTAACCTGATGGATTATAGCTAACATGAAAGAACACGGATTGGCAGCAAGATATCCTACAATGGCCTGCATATATGTAGACTCTTTAAAATGTAAAAACTTTAAAATGTAAAACCTACATTTTTCTGATAAGGAATACCTTCACTATTTTGACATAGTTTAGACATGGTGGAATGGTGATTGGTTTTGAGATGGAGGGGCATAATCTCTACCATGCTCCTTCCAATGTAAACAATTGATATATTAAGTAAACAACAAAATGTATGTTTAGATGAGGAGACTGAATCTCCACACAAACTGTTGTACTGTATAATGCTCATTGAATAAAAACTGTGATTTCAATTGTACCGTACTGTTTTATATTGTGCAAATATTTCTTCCTGTGGTTTGATAATGAGTGCATATGTTTTTAGATTGATTGATTAAAAAGAGCCCAACACTACCAGGTACTTCACTAGCTGTATACATTACATTGGCGTCCAACTCTGGATGTACCCAAATTTGTTAATTCAAACTATAGCAATCACCTATAAAATAATTTGTGTGCGTCTAGAATGTGTCAAATCAACCTATAGGCTAGCAGGAGGAAAATATAGAATAGCATAATATTGCAATAACCTAAGTCAAACTTAGGTCTTGCATAAGCCTTGCATGCGAATGCCTTCTGGTGCGTCGGGAAGTCATTCTTGACTCTTGACTAATTGTTTATTTTTTCATCTTTTTTTCCTTCTCCATCCAAGGTAAATGGCTACGATCTTACCATGGCAACGCATCGCCATGCAGTCAAGATCCTCACCAAGGAGAAATACTCTATTCTCAAGATGAAAATGACTCGTCAAGGATTAATGCGAAGCTAACCGCATCAATCTCATCTGAGTCATCTCGCCCTCCGAACAAACCTCCTCTCACCATGCGGAAGTGCAGCATGTCCCTCCAATCAGCATACACTGCGTAAAACCTGCAAGGAGTCGGTTCTCTTTTTGTTTAACGGTAAATGAATATGGCATTTGGAGTGCGTTTTGATACGTTGGAATGATTATATTCATTGTAGAAGATGCTAGTCTTTGGAAGCCCAAGTTGTGTTAGTTTAGGCATAGTTGGTAAAATAATTGTGTGAAATATTCCTAAACAGTAGTTTTATGAATATTTCAATGTCCCGTTGCAAAGTACTATTGCATCAAAGAGCTACATGCAATACAGGGTTGTATTTCCTAAGAAAAGAAAATCATTCTTTTCCATTTTATACCGATGTATAATATTCAACAAAATAATTTTGTAAATGGCCCTTTGCTCATCCCCATTTTATCAAATTGTTAACATTGTCATGTGTGGGTTTGAATGTTATAGATAAATTATGTTTTTTTTTTTTTTTTAAAGATATTGAAATAAAATATCTTGTTTTAAAACTAAGGTAGTCTGATTGGGTACAAGATTCTGCAACATTTAACTATTCTGAGAATAGTCCTTGAGTTTTGTACAAACTTAGTTGTAGAAAATAGATTTGTTAAATGTTGATTCTTCCCAATGAGAAGGTCATTGACTACTTTTTAGTGTACAAGTATATTAATGCATCCACACACACCACTTTCAGGTTCTTGGTATATCCCTATTTTATATTTCTTGTACCCTACTTTTTAAATGTCTGTGGTTGATTAAGAATACATTTTTAACATTGAAAACTTAATCAAATGGAGTATCCTACCCTGTTTTGTTATCATGCTTTTAGAAAATATTTAGATGGTCAGGAAAAGAAGTGTGATACTGCAGCTACAGTGTAACTACAGGAAAAACATAATTTTTTGCTTGTAGAAAGTTCTGTTTAAGAGCATAGCAAATGAGAAACATAAAGGCAAAATGTTGAAAGTACTTATACCTGGTAGTTCTTTGAAATTGTAGTGTAAGCATACTTAAAGTATCATGTGCTAAAAAAACACAAATGTGGAGTTGTATTTTACTTTTAGTGCAATTATTATTGACACATACAAGTATGTTTGTATGTTTTTTTCTAAGACATTCATTGCAGTGATTTGTATTACTTGGAATGATAAATATCATGTCATTGACCTGGATTGGAGATAGAAGGCAAAGTACTCAACAATTAATGTTATTCATCAAACGTTTATTCTAAGATTTGAAAAATCATACAATAATACTGCTAATAAAATGTCATTTTAAAGCCCCTATTCATAAAAAAAAATACTTACAAACAAAGAGGAATATAGAGAGAAATTGGGAAAAGATGTGTTTTCAGACATTTCTTGAAAGCTGCAATAGTATGGTAATTTTGTAGTACATTTTCCATTACACTTGGAGGACAAATTTATTCTCTCTCTCTTAATGTCTGTTCATCTATGTATTCTAATTGTAACTGTTTTGTTTTACTGGCAATTAGTATTCACTTTGATTCACTTACCTATGTCAATCACTAGTATTCAGATGGTATTTATATTCCACGAGAATACTTGTCCTTTTAAGTTCGGTTTTATTTGCCTCTCCCAAATGGGAACCAAATAGTATGTCATCCTTTTAGTGATGATTATTGTAATGTGAATTTGATTGGTAATTTGAGCATTGAATTGAATCTTTTTAGCAAATGCTATATATATTTATTCTGTAGAGTATTTAATCTGTTATCTAGTTATGATGTTAAAATTAATGTCTTCCATTTATTCAATTAAGCCGTGTGTTTAGCCATAGTATTAGTAGACAAAAGAGAACATTTAGGTGTCATGTCATGTTTTTAATGCTTTGCAGATCTATGTTAATTGTTCTTTGGTTCTACCATATATTTTTGTACCTTTGTAGATAATATGTCTATTTTTAAAGAAAATTCTCTAAATAGAATGATAGAATTAATGACAGAATCTTCTAAGTATTTCAAGATAAAGTTGAGTACTGGCCATGCAAAAACTGCAAGTTAATGCATGTAAAAAAACTATGTGGAAGCGATTAGAAAGGTTGATCATGCATGTTGCACATACACATTGATGTATACTGTGGATTTTTTGGAATCATCAAGATTGTAACTGGGCTAGTCTTGCATAGAGTCGCATGCGCTGTACACAGAAATGTGTATATGGGACCACACAATCATGTTGCATGAAAGTGTGGACCACAACCATTAGCTGTTACTTGTTAAGGGCATTTGAAGAGGCATCCTCCGGGCATTTATTCTTTTCAGGGGACATTTTTTCTACGCTTCTCTTCCACACTGTCATAAAGTGATTGAAAAACTCACAAATTATTTGCCACCTTTCCAAGAACTTCACCTCTTTTATCTGGACAATAACATTTGTTTTCATTGCCATTCTAGCTGAAATTTGTTGTTTTTCAGGACTAGGACTGAAAGACCGGTTGAATAACATATTTGTGCATACTGTTTAAAGAAAGGTTTTTCTTGACATCCTGAAAGCTTCCCGACATAGCAACAAGTAATGTACACAGACTAGATTTCAAGTATTGTAGTTGATTCATTAATAACAGGTTAATGGGTAAACCTTGTCACTAGGTCCAAAGAAGGACAAACGTCTATAATCTTGAATGTGTTAGTAAACTGTTCTATCAAAGTGTTAGGAATTTCAGAATGATATCTGAATCTGAAAAGTCATGCAGGTTTTCTTTTGAGGATCCTGTCGTTTTTCTAATGGCCTATTTAGGAATACAATTCACTTTTCAAGCAAATCAGAAATTATTAATGTTAAATTGTCTATAATGTTAATCTGCATTCTGCAGCAGTACAGTGTAAATATTGTGAAGTTTCCATTTTCCAAAAGTACTGATTCAAAGGAATTTTCTTCCATGGAAGCAGCTTGCCAAAGAAAATGAGATGTTATTTTTTAAGGTTTTTTGATAATGACACATATAAATTATGTAATTTTGGTTTGTTTTAAATTGTAGGAAAAAAGGGCAAAATTATCAGTACTAAACTAAAATGGAAAAAAAAACACTTAGAGATTCAAGTGTGAACCAATGTTTTAGCTTTATACTTATATTCGCCAAACTGTTGTACTGTATTCTGAAATCTGTATGTACTGTTTTATGAAATCTGTATGTACTGTTTTATGAAATCTGTATGTACTGTTTTATGAAATCTGTATGTACTGTTTTATTATGTATCGCATCTTGAAATGTTAGTTCATTTTTACTGTTGTTTTTCATCTCGTAATTTTTTATAATTTTATTTGAGTTTTCACACGCAAGCTGTAAAGATTTTCATATTTATCTCTATCTCAAGCTGTTTATCTTTGTTATTTATTGCTTTTATTTTTTTTTTCATTCTCATCCCATTCTCTTTATAACAGAAATCTCCGCTCCCATTTTTTTTCTCTATTTGCCTTACTGCATTTTTATTTCTCTCTCACATTTTCTCTCACCTGTTGATTAATTATATTGACTTGAACTTGATACATGTAGTACATGCATCTCGTTGACTCAATTTCATAGCTTGCACTATCAATGATGTAGCGTACTAACAATTATGTAGCAATTGTCTAAGTATTCGCTCATCATGTACCAGTATTCAAATGTTTTTAAAATGTGATAGCTTTGGCTTGAAATGGCTTTTATACTGACTGACTAAATCATGAATGAGTACTACGGTAATCAAATAAATATTGATTAGAAAATACACAACATACTACTGATGTACGTTGTCATGTTTTAATGTTGGTCATAATACAAAATGGTTATTTTCCTGTGTTGATACTATAAAGTGCTAATTTTGAACCATCCCTCTTTCTCTGTCTCTCTTTCATTCACTCTTTCTCTCTCAAGTTCTCTCAGTCCACACACCAAAGCCATGTGGTCAATCCTTTCTCCATCCCTCTGTACTCTGACTCTCTCTCTCTCTCTCATTTGCTCGCTCTTTCTTTTTCTCTCACTCTCTTTCAAGTTTAAAGTTTAAAGTTTATTTGTTTCACATTTCACAAAAAAAGAAATCACATAATTGACAAAATTAGAACATACGGTAATATGAAATATACTAAAAGAAAAGTGTCACATTATACAATTAATTCTTTGAAAAGACGTCGAAATTAACTGAATAGAAGGTTATACAGGGTGAAATGTGAGGAACCTATTAAAAAGCTCAGTCCACACAACAAAGCCATGCGGTCAATCCTTTCTTCATCCCTCTCTGTCCTGGGCCTTTTTCTTCTTCATTCCCCCCCCCCCTCTCTTGCTCTCTCTCTCTCTTTGCCTATCTCTTGCTCTCTCTCTCTCTTTATATATATATATATATATGTATATATATATATATATATATGTATATATATATATATATATATATATGTATATATATATATATATATTTTTTTTTTTTGTTGTTTATCTATCTCTCTCCCTCTCCTTGAATTACATAGATTATAGTGTTGCCAATAAGTTGTGTGTGTAAATCTCTGAAAGGATATTGGACTAACCGTTCCTTGGTCCTGTATCAAGCCTACCAGATCACAATCATCAGTATCATAACACCCTTTAAAACCATTTTAACCCGTTGAGTACTGAATTCTCTCATTCGCATAGACTTAATACAGGAACCACCTGGTTCCCATAGGCAATGGGTTAACAAGAACCAGAAGAAGCAATTCAGACAAATGTGTCAATAAGACAGTGAGAGAGGGCGCAACAACTTGTTTGGATCACACATCATATTTTAATATTTCCGTTTAAAATATTACACAACAGAAAACAGTATTAAAAAATACACTCTAGGCAACATAAACTTTGTACATTTTTAAGTGAAGGTTCTACCAAAAAAAAAATGAAGAAAAAACACTCTATATTCACACAATACTATATAACACTTATTTCTGTAGAGTTGTTCATATTTCAAAACATATTTGTATAAACCACATTAATAACAAACACATAAGAAGGTGATGTACAAATGATAATGTTAATAAAATAACAAAGCCTTTGTGCACATTCAGTGCATATTGGTTTTATAAAAGGGACTGGATGCTATGAATGTTAAAAGGCTTCTTTGAATTTGGCATTTTTATATGAAGCACTGTCTAGTTTGCATAAATCTAATCCATGTGTGAACAGCAGCAGGACATCAGCAGTAGATTTTTCTGGTGTCGTCCTTTTGCCAGTCGCACAATGTGAAGGGAAAAAATATAAAGGAGAGTATTTCCACAGAGAGATCATATAGTAAATGGAACTTTGGAGATTACAATGGGTATCTTAAAACAAGGCAAGAGTATCACATAAAAATGCAGCACGATTTTCTTTACAAAACTAGGCTGACACTACAAGCTGTTTGTCTTGTGTATGATATAACTATATCCTAAATCAGCTGTATTTTCCACCAAGACTGAGTTCAACAACATCAGCACTGAAAAGTATTTCTTGACAAATGCAATAATGTGATATTTTGCACATAGAACCGTGTCAAGAAATATGCTGTTTGAGAGTATATGCTACATACTGCATGTATATATCACATAGAAAGTAAAGTACAAAAATAATTGCAAATCATATGATATCTCAATTGATAGAACAAACAATTTTACCTGAAAATAGTTGATTGGAGCCAGACAATTCATTTCATTTCATTCTCAATCCATGCGTTTACACTGACATTGGTACTTTGTCCTTATTTCATTCAACTGCAAACATTTCTGGTCATAAGCACTACATCAAATAACAGTACAGAGCATTGTGACAAAATATAATTACAACAGCGTAATCCTGGGACAGAGAACGTGATAAGGGATTCAACAGATACCTTGATGTAAGGCACATATTTCATACTCTTTCAATATACAAAAAAGAGTAACAAAAAAGGACACACAAACTATATATACATGTATACAAAAACACATTGATTGTACAACAAGCACTAAACACATCATATGCTGAAACAGAGAGAAATAAAAAACAAATAACTTGTTAAGAAATTCAACAGAAAAAGCCCCTGATTGTAAAGTAAAGTGTAAAAAAGTGAGAAAATTGTAAAATGTATAAAACAGGTTTCAGGTATTTCATATACCAATAAAAAATAAACATTTACTGAATAAGAAAAACATCAACACAAATATGAGAAATAAATCTATAATTTTCAGTAAATATATATATTTTATCATATATACAATTATATACTTATAAAAGAATTTACTGTACAAAGTTTGGTACAAAATACAAGTACTTATGGACTTTTGTAAGGCCTTTTTGACAGTGCATATGATACATTTCTCCCTCAATATTCAATGCTTACATTTTGACATATTCCTATAGCAAACTTCTAACTTTCCTTCACAACATTTCTACAAGGTGTTTCAGCAATTAAGGTGGTGTCTCAATCACTCACTGTACTGTACATCTTGGTGAGCTATTCATTTCATTCTCAAAGGCATCTCTTAGATATACTTCTCAAACTGACAATAATTTACCAATAGGCGATCATGTATGTGGGCTTATAGGAGTGTAACCTTCAAATCATTTGAAAGATCATAAGTGAAACCTGCCCATTTCCAAATGCTTTGCAGATTTAATCACTAATATTTTGTAAAACAGAAGAAAAAAAACCCCTTCAAATGCAATGACATAACCCCTTATGAAAAAAATACACTAATAACTATCAATGTATTTCTGAGTTTGTTTTTAAGCTCACAATACATTTTTCAGTTAGATATCTGTTGGGAGATCTACATTATTCCTTGTACCCTAAATATCATACAGTTCCATACTTAGTAAGAACGTATTGTCATTTTATGGTAATAAAAAATGTTATGTTTGTGGCAGATAGCTAGACACTAGAAAATATTTGTGTCAAGAGAAAGGAAAAACAGATAAAAACAAGGGTTTGTGAATTTATTTAAATTTACATGTACATAAGGGCAAGAAAAGTTGGCATCAACCAAGTCTTATCTAAAAAGAATGTCCTTTATAAAAGGTCCACAAATATTTAAAGGATTTTTTAATCTTTTATAAATGTATAAAGATAGGGACATCTGGATGATATAGTGATACAATATGAATTCTTAAATCCTATATTTTTATGCAGCCATGGTTTACAATGATATGAAATTGACAAATATAAAAATTAACACTACATTATAATTTTCCCTGATAATGAAGTCACTTCAGGAACTTACAGGTAATTTGATAAATAAGAATATTCTTATGATCTAAAAATATCTTTGAAAATACAATTTTGTTTGACCCACAGAATTTTTTTACTGTGGTTTCTTATGTTTGGAGCCAGAAGGGCTATAAACTCCTACACTTTAACACAGCGTTAACACCCTTCTAGTTCTGAACAGACGATTTTGATAATGAATACATCTGTGTACAAGGTATAATTCATAAATCTGTCTGTAATATGAGAATGAAATACATTACTACAAAATATAATTTAGTTCTTTATGATAACATTTATTCATTGTTCCTTGAAATCCATGAATATAATTTTACAAATTATTTCAAATCAATAACACAGACCTGAAAATAGTAATTCAAGGTAATTTGTTGGATCATACTGAAATATCATCTCTAACTGTCATAAATCTATTGGAATAATTATTCAAGGCAGTTGCAAATTTATTCAAGTACAAAGCACTATTTGGCCTCTTTCACATATGAATTAGAAGTGATGGAATACAATATACTTGAGGTAACGTGTATGAAAATATAAACATTATTACAATTCAATTGGTCTTGATTGTATGTTTTATGGTTCAAGGAAGAAATAATTTGGCAGTTGACATAGTTATATGGACGGATTTTTAAATAAAGTAAATTATGAAGTACCGAGGACGAAAGATGACATTAAATGCATAAACCTTTCAGATCAATTGTTAGACCTGACGCTGATGATTACAGGAGACAGCTATGAGCCTAAAATCATTGTAAAATATATATATATATATATATATAAAACTGATACATTCAGTGGAAAATCCTTATTCTCAATATTCACTAAAATTACCAGTAACATAATGTTTTGAAAATGGATGATTCTGCATGATTATGACAAGAAATAGGACGGGATAATTTTCTGAAAATCATGATTTATATTAATAATATAATTTTGGTGTCAAGAGATATTTCATCTAAACTGAATAAGTACATTATCAAGGTTTTGGAATAGAAGTTCTAACTGCAAGGAATCAATCTAAGTACTCTTTCTTTCTCTTCGAATTTGACCAATGAAAGTAATTTACACATCTCAATACATCATCGGTAGAGAGGTCCCTTGAATGCCTTTACTCTCTTTGATGGACAAACTGTCTTCCTCATCTTATCACTGTGTACTCCTTTGATCCATTGATATCATCATTCTCATCTGCTTCGTCATCATCATCAACATCATCAGGGCCTGGGTGTTCACAATTTCTACCGGAGCAGACGTCCTCTTCAATTATGCCTCTATACTCCTGATCCCTTCCAACTTGGGAATGTGTAGAGTGCCAACATTTAGTTACCTGATCAAAGGCAGAAGCTGATATTACCAGATCCGCATGGTTTCATGAGACATGTCTTTGAGAACACACATTGAACTGTGTGTGTTTGCTATTTAACACCATTACAACAGTCTTTGTATTCTGTAAAACCTAGATTTCCCATATCCACATGATCTTCCATCCAAGTCCCTCCATGGCACTTCACACCATCGGCATTCATCAAGATTAACCAAGATCCCTACGGCGTAACCCAGGCAGTACACTTGTACCCTTTGGCAAGGCATACATCCTTGGCTACCAATACTTCTCTTGGACAGGACTTGAAGCTGTATGTCCTCTAATTGCTGACCAATCATATCATTGCTTTTGCAGGAGTCAGATAAAGTACATGTAAGCACTAACAATACATGCACTGTCTTGTGAAATGTTTGTGCATGCCTCCGCCCCAAGATCACGAGGCGCCGTCGGCATAGACCGCTGAGAGCTGGCTCGGGCATCGGTCGATGGCACTCATCTGGAGGAGGTGGTTGTCGTCGGATGAGGGTCCGACTGTCAAGAGAGGGCTGTGGAAGTCCCCTCCTGTATTACCAAGACCTGCATCAGGCAAGGCAGGGAAGATAGTGGTTAAGAGAAGACAGACAGGGGGAAGAAACAGGACAGAGGGAGAGAGATGGATAGAGATGAAGATGGAAAGAGGGAGAGCCAGAAACAATGAGAGATAGAGAGGGAGACAGAAATAGAAGACAGAGACAAAAGTAGTAAGGGTAGAGAGAAAAAAAGAGAAATACTGTAAGTTATGACTGTATCCTGTATGGCTAAAAAAAAATAGAATATGGCATACACAGATTTCAACTTTTAAGAAGCTAATTTTAGTACAAGCTCTAAGATATTTCTCCTCTTAATGATGCTATTGTTCATTGTACAAAATACTTTAAAAGGCTTATTGATTATCATCAAATTGATTTTAAAGTCTTATTGATTATCATCAAAGGGAGTATTTGCTCTTGGAAAATACACTTAAAGAGGCTGCAATGAATAACTTGTAAGTACATATCTCGATCCCTCCCAAATGAAAATGTGAAATGCATTTGTCTAATTACCTCTCTCTGTGATGGAATGTGCAGACAGCGCCCTCTCCAGGTTATCAAACGGAGAGAGGCAGGTGTTGTCCAGCATGGCCAGCCCTCTTGTCTTGACCAGGCCCTTGTTGCCATAGTGATTGTTATTGTTGTTGTTATTGGTTGCTGTCAAGGCGTTGAGGCTGAGTTGCCGTTGGTGGATGGGGTGGAGGGTCTGGAGCGTGATGCCCGGCGAGGGGCGGCTGCTGGGGCGCTGGCTAGGGGGGTAAGGCTGCCGGAAAATCGGGCGGGGCGAAGTGGCCAGAGAGGGCGAGAGAGGTCCGGTGATCCCGGGCAGATGAGGGGACGTGGATGGGAGGGGCTGCTTGGGTGATAAGCTGTGACCTGGATGTACATGAGAGACAAGGAAAGTAGAGAGAGAGATAAAATTAATTATTATACAATATAATACCTGACAATCATAGTGCGACCATGCTGCTTTTGATGATTATAATACTTAATCACAAGAATGAGTATTAAGATGACAATAATAACAAAGTCAAAATGATTGATGGAAAGCTATCTGAGTAAACAAAGAATAGTTTTTGTAATAATGTTATACAATGAATTTTGATGATATTGAAACCTCATTTCATAAAATTTTACATACATAAGTACCTGCACTTAATCATAATAACTGGATAATTCATTGAACATCCATGCTAAATATGAAAGTCAACTTGATAATGTTGACAAACTACAAGCATGTGATATGTCATGAAAAGGTGAAGGGTAGCTTCAAAATATAGTTAATGTCGCCCTCTTGTGACAAAACTGGCACAGGCCACCCTTCACAAGACATTACTCAAACCATACCAAACAGTTCACTCACTCTTCAGACAGTATAACAAAAGAGTCCACCACACTATTTTTGACTGAAACAACAAGGCTACACAGAGTTTTGCATCGATTAAAAAAACCCATTAAATCGGCCACAACAGATGTCAAAATGTTTGCTTAACCATAAAACACTGCACAGGTATATTTAAGAAGAAGAAAAAACCCTGATCAAATTATGTTCTGATAGCAGCTTATTCGATACATTTGAAGTTAAAGAAAAAAAAATATTCTTTATGCTGTTGAACTTATAGTACATAATCCAAATGAAAAACAGCCTCATGAATAGGCCTGCCTTCATCAGCTCGAGTTTGCCAAATAATCCGCTATTTTAACTATTTTGATCGCAAATTAGCCAGTTAATTTCACTATAAATATGACGGACAAAGAAGGCGGACAAAATACACAGTTCCTCAGGTAGATAAAGGAACATCCACTGCTATTATGTAAAAATGTGTAGAACAGGTGAATATGCCTGTTCTAAACGCTTTCTTTGTCTGTCATGTTCATAGTGTTTGCGTCTTCATCAGCCCGCAGTTGCAATTAGAGGGATATTTGGTTGGGAAAATATCCTGAGAAAGGTTGGTCTTGTTTCCAAAATATCCCGCTATTTGGGAAAAAACGGGCTAGTTTGTGATGAGCGTATTGGTCTGGCGAGTCTGGTGAAGATGCAGTTTTGAGCTTCGGTATAATATCCCAAGTCTGAAAAAAGCGGTTACTCGGCAAACTCGAGCTGATAAGGACAGGCCTAATGTAACTAGATAAAAATTGAATATGAAATGGACACTTTAGAGAGAATGCAGATTGTAGAGATCGCTATTGTTTACTCCATAAATGTGAAAGGGCTCAAGGTTCACCCAGGGGTGTCTAGGGAGACAGCTTAGGCTAAACATTCGTCAACCCCGAGGGCGCAATTCTAGGATTGCTTGCCTCGTCGGCACCTCCGGGGATGGATGGCCCGCTGAGTGCTAAGGCCAACGACAGTCTGTAGGTGCGAGATGACCTCAGCTTGTAGCCATGAAGGATAAAACATTAGGCCCATTTACACACTTCCAAAAACATTTTATTGGACTGCCATTTAAAATACTGGAAAAACCCATAAGAAACTGTCGGTGTTTGATAAAAAAAAAATTAATGAGTTGTGCCCATGTGCCACTTGCTACTGCCCTGTATATGTTAGCATTGTAGCAAAAGTCATGTGACCAAAAAGCATTTACATTGCAAATGCTAGTGAAGATTCTGCTGGCGTTTGGAGAAAAAAAAAGCACTAGAGGCGCTTTTTTTAAAATCATGTTTATGGGTAGTTGCTTAGATACGAAACAGAGAAATGTGAGAAAAACCGACGGTTTCTGCTTGCAGTGTAAATGCAGCCATTTCAGAGATTTCACAAGTTTAAATTGTAATAAATACCGAAAACATTAATATAATCACCAATGGTGTAGTAGAGAACTGGGGTCCCAGGACAATGACCAAGAGACAAGGTTTGGATTACATTGTATTTTGCAGTAGGTTTTGTGGTTGAGACTTTAAAAAGTCAAAGGTATCAATTATCTTTAATCATACATTTTTTTTTTTACCAAACAGATTTTCAAAAACATTTTCTGACTTAGTTGAAACATCCTCTGTTCTATATTACCATGGGAAATTCATATTTGGCAGTCTATATGGAAATGCCACCCAAATATTTCTTTTCATCTTAACAGATATTAATTTCCTTGCTTCCCCAATCGCATGTGGACAATTCATCAACTTAGAAAAGAAAAGCCTGATTTATTTCTCAAAAATTAGCTTATAATCCAGACCTGTTTCGAATCACCGACTCCATTTACAAAATAAGAATGAAGTTTCTATGAAGAAACCCTCTGGCAAGGATGAAGATGATGATCCTGCAAGTTGGAGATTCAAAACCACAACTCGTTGCGCCCTAGCTCCACCTTCCAACAATGGGAGAGGGGAGACATGGGGCGCTGAACATGAATAACGGGGCTAATCAGGGTGAAAATCGTATCCAAATCGCCGCCTAATCCAGGCTTTATGCAATTGTTTATGGTTACCAAGTAACACATTTTAATTCATTCATCTTAGTCATTCTTAATCTTTGTCTTTTTGAATCGTCATAGCTGTAAGCTTCCGATGCGCGTTGTTTTTCAAGACATAGGTGAACTGTTTTTCATGTTTGGTTACTGGCAGTGGCGAGTGCACTTTAGCTGACGAGCACACATCTTCAGCGTGCTTTATAGCGTTAACATCCCAATTATCTATCATATCATATCTCATTATCTGTGGCATTTAGAGCATTACTTGGTGTTGAGTGCCTACTTAGATCCTCATTCATCGGATTTACCCCTCTCTATGGGTAGATGGTACCAGAACTCCCAGAAAGAATGAAATGCCTGGAGCTACATTATGGAAAGGGATTACGAAACCTGTGTCATTGAAAAGTTTTTCAGCACGGTGCACTTTTCATGTGTTTGTACAATTATTTCACTTATTTCTATGATGTACTTCTATAATTCTATTAATCTAAACGTATGCATTCAATATCAAAGCCTTTATGAAGTGCACATATCCATTTGTGATAGTTTATCTCCTGTTTGTGCAATAAGGCTAATAATTTGATGCTCTTTTGATACCAAGTCAAGCGTTTCTCTGGTCATTTCAATCGCAATTACAGCATATCATTCATTTGTGATTAAGAATGAAATGAAAAATAACATATAATTGAATTCAAAATCAGAATTCTTTTAGTAATTTCCTTCCAATTTATTATAGATGTACATCAAATTTGAATCAAAATGCTAAGAGAATCCCCACCTCTCTCTCTCTCTTCATCCCTCTTTCTGTCTCTTGCTATAAATTTCTCTTGATATCTTATCTGTCTGTATACTTTCTGTCTTCTTTTCCTCACCCTCTCTCATCCTCTTGATTTACCCCTACTCCTCTACCTTCCTCTCTTTCGCTCTCTCTCTCTCTCTTCATCTCTTCTTCGGTCTCTTGCTATCAATTTATCTTCATATCTTTTTCTGTCTGTGGCAAACTTTTTTCTCTAACTCTTGATGAACCTCGACTCCTCTTCCTTCCTCTCTCCAATTCTTCTTTTCTCTGCCTGTCTATTCCCCCCTCCCTCTATCTCCCTCTCTCTCTCTCGCTTTCTCTCTCTCTCTCTCTCTCTCTCTCTCTCTCTCTCTCTCTCTCTCAATGCCTCTCTCAAACTCAAAGTCAGCCCTCTATCAGCGCACTGCAGGTGGCTCGACTGGCACCTTGTCCAGTTCACCTGTGGTCAATTGCTTTTTCACCTTGGCTGAATGTACCACCGTAATCTGCTCAAATCTACCCAAACATGGCAAAGCTAATGTCAAGACCTTGCATCATGGCTCAAGAATCCATGCTTCCACAAAAAACAGAAAAAAGAGGCTCTTGTCAAAGGGGGAAATTGCAGAAATCAACACTAAAAACTTGCAGGCCATTTACTGATTATTGTAATTTAGTCTTGCCCAATGCACTTTTGGGTGTTCCATTGCACTTGGTCATTTAACAAAACAAAAAATGGGTACAACTATTTATGTTTATCATTTTTATTTTAAAAAAGAGATGGTGTGTGAGAGTGGAAGAGTGAGGGGGAGAGAGAGAAGGGGAGATTGAGGAGGGTAATGTCAAAAGAAAGGGGATGGCACACATATAAAGCCAAATACAGAGAAGCACAGATAACAAGTGAATAGAGCTGTATTAACAGGGGAAAATACAAAAAGATGCATAGAAGAAAAAGGATCAAAGACACGAGCATAGCAAGCAAAAATCAAGGAGATAGAGAAGGAGGGCAAGGGATAAAGAGAAAGAAGAAAGAGAGAAAGAGAAAGAAAGAAAAAGAAAGAAAAGAAAGAAAGAGAAAGAGAAAGAAAGAAAGAGAAAGAGAGAAATATAAAGTGGTTAAGAAAGAGAGAGAGAGAGAGACAAAGAGAGAGAGGGCTAGAATGGCCAAGTAACCTCATTTGCACTTTGTCCTCCCCATGAAACCAAGATGGTTGTTTGTTATTGCTTCACTGGTAACCATGGTCACACACATAGCTGACCACATCAGTATTCATTGTGACAGATGCAAGCAGTGAAAACCAAGCCTTTCAAATATATCCCTTCAACACAATTACTAGGTATTTAAAGAGCAATACAACAGTTGTAACTATACTACCATTACTATTTAAAAAAATGTACATTCTGGGAGAAATTTAAGAGTATGGAAAAGATGATCTTTGCCTAGTTTGCAGGCATAAACCCTTGTAAGTTGTTTTTGCATAATAGTGTCTGCACTATGAGACTACATTAGGCTCTGTACTATAGGCACAGCCAGACACTGACATATCTAGGCTCTGCTCAAGTCTTTAGGAATTGGGGTAAGTGTCAAATTTGAGTCTGTTAGATTGGCCCCTCTTTGAAATATTTTTTTTCCCATATTAGGCTGTGATAAATACACTTTAATAGTAATATGATTGTATGCTAGGCTATCTCTACCT